CCCTTTAAATTATTATTGTTCCTGCAATTACATTTAATAGGACTTTAAGAATCACAGAAACACCATTTCATATATGTAGCTAGTATCTTTATTTTTTTTAGAGTTGTTGTCGTTATATATATATATATATATATATATATATATATATATATATAAAGAAAACTTTCGGGCTGAATCCCTCCTCCCCTCCAAAATGAAATCCTGAATCCGCTAGTGGTTTTCACAGAACCAGTGCTAAATTAGGGAGAGGTGTCTAGGCATATTTAAGGATACTATTTCGATATCAGAGTTGAATGATAAGATTGCGGTGTCATCAGCGAATGTTACAAGGAAGATATTTGAGGAACACCTTTAACTTTAACAAAATAGGTATTGGAAGATTTGTTTCACTCGGAAGGAGCGGTCACAGAATCAAAATACTAGGTTTAAGGACTGGGATAAATGGATTTTAATCTTGAAGATCAATGCGGCATGGCATATCCGGACAAAAAAATCTTTTTTTTTTGTTTCCGAAAGGGAATCGTCACAGACAGAGAGGAAGAACAGATAGTAGTTAAAGGAATTCAGATCAATAGGTGGCTGATTCCCGTTTGATTTTTTGCAATACTAATAACAGGAGGTGTTTGAATTTGTCCTCTCTCAAGAAGGATGGCTTCTACGTTTTTTCTTCATTTACATTTAGGACAATTTTCTCATTGTCTATTTAGAACCATATCTTATTATTCATTCCATCATGCATCCCTTTATTTCCACGTGATGTTTTTATCACAAAATTCCGGATTGTATTAGGACTCGGTATTTAAAAATTATTTATACAAGCTTCGTCGAATTTCACAAATGTTCCAGAATCTACCCATATTTCTCACTTTTCTTTAATTTTATTATTATAACTTATTGATGAATTTCATTATTATGGCCCATTACCATAATATGCTTCATAATAAAGAATTTGTCTCAATTTTTAATAGTCTCAAATTGCATTTTGAAACTTTATATTAATTTATATAAATAAAGAAAAATTTTAATGTTATATTTTTGGTATTGAACACAGCCTTTCCAAAAGGTCTTCTCTAGAACCAATTAACAATTGTAGGACACACTAAAAAGGATTTGTTGAGTCATTGAATGTAAGAGAGTATGTATCGAAATATCAGCTGAATTAATCCAGTCATTCTTAGCAAGTATCGGAAGGAATAGAGTAGCTATTCTAAGAGTTGGTAAGTTACGAAAAGAGATTGTTCATTATCAGTGCCCTATAAGATTTTAAAGACCAACTGGTCCAGCTCTATTCGATTTAATAGCACAATATTTCAGGTTTTAAACGATGCTGTGTAGGGTGTTGTAAGGAAGTGTTGCTAAGAATTAGGTAGCATGATTTATTTTCAATTAATTTTAAGTAATCCGAATCATCTTTGTCTTACTTAATTGCCTTCTAAGTAATAGACTTGTAGATGCAATAGAATAAAAGTGTTATATTAAATATGTAGGATCTACCGCTGTGTGTTTCTTGGTCATGAAAAGTAGTTCCTAGTGCGGCGAAGTTACATTGTTGCAATAAAATTCTGAGTCGGTTCAAATTCAATATATTGATTTTTTTATTTTCATTTACCTATACATGTATAGTAAGGGAAATAATTGCGATCGTAAAAATTTTTGGAGCCTGAGTTTTTTTTGTTTTTTTTTCTTTACAAAGGTACTGTATGTGTAAACAGTTCAGCTCATAAACGAAAAAACTTATGAAACTGAAATTGTGTATTTTAAGGTTTGTATATGCCTCGGATGTAACAGCAACGTTTTCGTAAAAATCGGCTAACCGGAAGTGCCACTTTATATAACCGATTTTAGACATTTTTACGATTTTCTCGAAACCGGCTCGAACGATTTTGATTAAGTTCATCACATTAATGCAAGATAAAACGTTTTTTAATATAACGTAGGTCTTATTCTTATTGATGTTCTCTATCAGGGCCTAAATGCCTAATTTTTAAATTGTTTTCCTCTGAAGTACCATTAATTTTTTTTTATTTATTATAAATAATCATTTCACATTAGAACCTGATATAAAACGTGTTTAAATATGAGATATGAATTAATTCAATAATTAGCTAAGGGAGAAGTAACATAAAGAGGTTAGAACGGGCTTCTATACATTATGTGCGGTTGTCATAAATGCGGTTTCACAAAGCGTTCATATCATCTAATAGTTAATAGTTTTAGCGTTCATATTTATCTAATAGTTGCTCCATCTATCTTAGGCTATTTTTTTTTCCATATCTATTGCACCAATATATTGAAATTTATATATATTCGAATATGTATTATGTAGTGTCTATCGATAGTAAATTGAAAAGATGCTTTGATATTCTATATGCAAATTTAGTTTTAAATAAAATATATTTTAAGATTTGACCGCATCCTGTAACATGTCTTATATCACACAGCTGAGTGCGACCGGTTCACGCCGCTGAGAAAGGCTTTTCTGGATTTTTATCCAACTTAACCCTAGAACAGAAGAGTTTCTCTATTGAGTGGCTGTCTCTTCTAAGCTTCAAAAGAAAACACGATGGTTCGGTATGAAAAAAAACTGGTTCTCCACCAGGGTTCTTGGAGGTTTGATAAATGTTATTTAAAATTTTAAAAACTTAGATTTATCATTGTCTAACTCTATGACTCCTTCTCTTCAAGCATCTAATTTTCCATAATCATTTATCATTTTTATTGATAAAAAGTTTCGTTCGTCACATAACTTTTATTTACCATTCTACTTATTATTATTTTCGCTCAATTAGGACTAGTTAACATTTAATTATTTAAATCTATTATCTGAACTGAAGTTATTTTGAGCAGGATGTACTTCATCATGTCTTTTCTTACAATAGTATAACAAAATAGGTTTTTTTTTTAAGAAATGCAGTATGACAATCCTGAGCATTATTTATTTACTTTCAATTCTAAACAAAATTCCATCTAGTTGCCACAGAGCTGAAGCGCTCTCGATCAATATCCGCGGGAGTTTTAGTACCCGTAATGCGGGTGAGAGAGTAGCACTGGGTTCTCCTGATGTCCTGCTTTTTCCTCCGTAGTTGGAGGGACAAGCCTGATTGTAAATAGTGTATATAGCTATGTCTTTGTTTTAATTTCTTTATTTTTAAGTTATATTATTTAGATATTATGTATACTTTTTGATTATTATTTATTGTTATTTTGCTTCAAATGATTTGATATATTTCTGTACATATAGCATGAATGTTATCCTATCTGATATTAATGTTGAAGTGACAGATTGTTGTAATATTCAATAAATAAATATAAATAAAATTTTTTTAAAAAGTTGTACGAGAATTATTTTCATTGAATAATATTTCTTTTCATAAAAATATTAGAATCTTTTCGAGACAACTGTTAAAACGGTGTGAAATTAATTACATCAATTGAGACTTTCTGGATGTCTATTTTAGCGAAAAATATTACCTCCTTTAATTAATGATTTCAATTGTTATATGCTTTTAAATTTAGAGCTAATCTTATCACATATATATATACAGATAGGCTTAACACGCGTATTTTCGATAGATCAGATTGTTTTATTTTCAAATATAAGAGTCTAATTAAAAATTTATATTATAATAAGGTCAATTTTAGTCAATGTATTCATAAAGTCACACATTATATACAATTGAAAATAATGTTTTGTCATTTGTACAATTATGTATTTTCAATCTACTGAACTATAATTTTATATGCATTTTGAGGAACTAGTGTAAATGGATTATCGCATTTTTACATTAAAACTTTATAAAGGTGAAACGTTTGTTAAGGAATAAAGGAGTAAATATCGACTGAACTTCTAAACCGTTTGGGAAGTTGTGCGACATATCTGTCAGCTTTGCACTAAATTTAGATTTGCCTACTCACCGAGCAAGTGACATTAGAGATTCTGTTTGTTTTATTTTATTTTTTTCTTAAAACCCGGAATCGATATCATCTTCCTGTCCTTGGTTAGGCTGAACTTGCTCCAGATTCACACTATAAATGTGTCCCAAACCGTAACGATAGCATTCTGCAAGCAGGATTCACACAACCACTAACAACATGTACAAGATTGTGAGTATTGAAACAATAAATCTATAATTAATGCTAGATATAAGCATACGTATATTTATGTTTTATTACAAGAAAAACAATTAGATATTTGCTTAATTTACCATTAAGAGTAAACCTAAGAGTATAAAAATGTTAAAGAAAATGAAGGCTAGCCGATAAAGTTTTTTTAACAAAATTAGGATATTTTTTTTTATTATTTTATTGAAATTTACAACTGTAAACATATATACAACCAGTAAATCTGCTATATGAATATATAACCTGAAGGTACTTGTGAAGAAGCTACCCATAAGTAACACTTCAAAGATAAATTAATTTATGAGGCCCCTTGGATTTTGGATTATAAAGATTGGATACGAGAAAAATTTGATGTTTTTGAAGAGCCACAAAAATTAGGATATGAAATTAATAAAGAAGAAGTTTTAAAACTACTACCTTTTCTCACAAAAAATCGCTAGATGGATCAATCAACAAGTTCTACTATTTAAGTGACTTAATCTGAAAGCCATATAATATAGTGGACCAATAAAAACATACATAATCATCCTGGTAAATTCGTAAAATGCATATAAACCCCAGGTAGTCCAATGCTTCTATAATTCAAAATAGGATTAACATTTTTTACTAATTTTCTAATAATTTGGTAGCCTTTTGTTTTGCAAATGTTTACTAAATGGCAGTTAATTTTTAGTTAAAGCTTTAAATATGTTCTCGTTTGTTTAAAATTGTTAACTTGCTTAAAATAAAGCAATTAATTTGTTGTTAAAGTCTTTTGAGTTTATCCTATACTGTATATTGTAATTTGCTTGTAAATAGTTTCCGGGGAGTTAGAAAAAAAAAAAAAGTTGTTAAAGTCTTTTGAGGAATCGAAAAGTTCTTTACTTCAACAACTTGGAATGGATGAGGTAAAAAGATGCGTAGTTCTAAAAAAAGCCAGCGTTGACTGTAGCACGGAAATTTATGAAGTTCCATTCCTCCACTATTTAATCAGACTAGAACACGTTTCAATCATAAAATAAAACATTTTTTTCGTCAAAGATTGGTGTTTTTATGGAATTGTATCCCTCTCAATCAATTTATAGAACGAGTTTCTTTTAAAATTTATTCATATCTGCTACAGTTTTTATACCTATTAATGGCAATAGCCATTTATAGGCTTAAGGCATTTTTTTTTTCATCTTACTCTACTTTAAGGTGGATTTTTCGAACGCTAATTATTGTTTGGATATACCAATAGCATTGACATTTAATATGTACGAATATAATAACGACTATATTTGTAAAAGATACATTAAAATAAACACAAATACAAATGTATTTTACTGTTAATAACAAGCAGATCACAAATAATCAGGATTTGCAGTCTTTCTGTGGTTTACAATAATTGGTGATGTTTTGACCCATACATATGGATCACCATCAATGCTAAAAATTAAAAAATACATCTATCAGAAAAATAAAAGTAAAAAAATGTGCTACTATTTGCTGTTAATTATTGAATGGTTTAACTTTGTTGTTTTAGCTTTATTTATTCGATGTATTTGTTTCTAATACTCATTTAATTAATTTATTCGTACTTTTTACATAATTATTTGTTTTTTAATTAATTTATTTTCTCGATGTACTACCTATTTCTACTTATTCGTAATATCACATTCATATTACTATTATGTGTATATTACCATTATCTAAAGTGTATTTTCCAGTGTAATTTCCATCTTTTTACCATGGCTTATTTACATACTTATATCTATCGCTCATTTTTCTGATGTGATTTTAAGCTCTGGCGTTGACCCACATACTTGAGTAGAAACGCCGGCAAATCTAATTAAACATATAAAGATTAGAAATTCTGATTATTTGTCTTCCTAACATAAAGTTTTTTAACAACCAGCGGTTGCATTCAATATAATAAATTATTTTTCTCATGTACCATTCTGTTTGACAGGCCATCCTCTTCGCCCTGGTCGCTTGCGCCTCCGCAGGCCTCATCGGCTACTCCAGCCCCGCCATCGGCTACGCCAGCCCCGCCATCAGCTACGCCGCTCCAATTGCTACAGTCGCCCATGCTCCAGTAGCTGTCGCCCATGCTCCAGTAGCTGTCGCCCACGCTCCAGTCTCCTATGGCCTTGGCTATGGTTACGGTCTCGGCTATGGTTATGGACTTGGCTACTCCACCCTTCTCCATTAAGTCACTTCAGTTTTTGTATGTGTATTTTATTTAACATATTAGGGGAAATATAATAATCTATTTTCACTATTTTGTGTGTATAATTTATTCAAATCCTTCATTTATTTTAGCATTGATATTATAGTATTGCGTTAGACAAAACAGTTTTAAAATAAGTTTAATATCACTCATATACTCAATAGAGAGACATTGGTTATTCTGTTTCCAAGAGTCAACAACAATATTCCATCGTATTTCCTTTATGGTGCTGGCAATTTGAACAAACTAGACAATCATATGAAGTTCATTAAAATGTTGAAAACGTTTTAAATGGTTCTATTTTCCTGGAATGATTTCCTCTTATTTAGTCCGTTGTGAATCCACGCAGAGCTGCACAATCCTCTTAGTAGTCCATATATCTCAGGCCATTCTTATAGGTTCCAACTCCCTCCTTAGATCCATTTCCACCTATCCTTCCTTGATTATTAATGACCAACCAATCTCCTTCACCTCCTCTGTAAAAAACGTAGGAATTACCATTGATCAATATCATGGAAACCCCATATTGCTCAAATCTCCAGAAGGTCAATTGGTACTCTTAAATTATTTCATCGTTCTCGTCAGCATCGCCCACAATCTATCCGCAGGCTCCTCGTTTCCTCATTGATTTTCCCCTACTTTTACTATGTCTTTGTGGTATACGGTGGCCTCTCGTTGGAGCTTTAGGACAGACTGAAGAGAATCATGAACTGTTTTTTAAGATTCGTCTTCGGCACTTCGAGATGATCTCATGTGTCCCACCTATATGCAGAGTCAAAGTGGCTCTTCCCCTCTTCCCGCCGCCTATATTTCCTTGGAAATTTCTTATACCAAACGATCAACTCCCAGCACCCTTTCTATATCTGTTGTCTCCTCCAGCCTAAACCCTTAGTCCACTCAATAAAAACGAGATCCCGTGTTTCTGACCTCTATATTCCATTCCACAGGACAAAAACCTATGAACGTTCCTTCTTAGGCCGCTCCGTCTCCTACTGGAATTCTTTGCCACATAACATCCGTCATGCCTCTTTCCTGTCAACTTTCAAATACGCCTTTTTCCAATATCTCCTTACATCCCAAACAGAAGATTTACCACCATAAATTTCATTTTATGAACTGAATTTGCGTGAAGTAAATAGTGGTGTCTACTGTTGAAGTTTTAACATAAAACAGCAATGATCTTTTTCACCTAGTTTGACTATTATTTTTACTATTTATTTATTTTTCTCTTCTCCTCAGGTTGTGCTTTTTCTTTCGGGTATATATGTTTATATTTTATATTTTTGTCTTTCTGTGTGCCAATATGAGAATGTACGTATATATAGTTCCTTTTATTTATTTTTTTTTTTCATTACACCACAAGTATCCTAAGATTTTATTTTATCTTAGTGTCTGCATATTATTATATAAACCACTGTAGATATTATTACATTTTGTATTAAGTTAGTTTGCTATTAGATAGCCTATTGTTTATAAATTGTGTAGTTATGTATATATAAATATGTAATTTCTCTTCTTTTTTTTTTCATCACAATTAAGTAATTTTGAGAAGATTTTATGTTCATTTGTATAAATATTTTATTATTTTTTTTTTACTGGTTACATACTTTTTAAATAATGTATATAATATTAAAATTTTTAGAAGTTAGTTTTTGGCCAGATTTGTACTTTACTTTGTATTAACTCATCATTGTTATTCTAAAGGGACTTAGTCCCAGAATAAAGTTTAATTTTCTATTCTATTCTATTCTATATCCATTTTCTATTTAAACATCCATCCATTTATCATAGTGGCATTTTTGTCAAAAGTAATCAACCTAGTGAATCGAGATAAAAGTATTTATAAATATGACTAGGATAATGTTTAGTCAAATTACCTTCTAGGTAAGTAGGTATACAATCAAAGAAATGTAAAACAGTTAAATATGGTCACCAATCTCTCGTCTTTTGATACCTCTGGACAACTCTGATGGAGATCTTCAAAATGAGTCGTCACAAAACGTCTCGCTTATTAGTGTATAATTATTTCATCGATTGATCCCTGGCACACTTTTGCTTAAAGTAATACATTTTACAGTTATTTGAACAAAACCTTGATTATGTTTATCTGTACCTTGTATCTAAAATGCCAAATAAATAACAAATGAAAATGTGAATGATGTAGCAACAGAATATGCTGTTAATAGTGAATCTTGGAAACTTATTTAAATTATTATAAATTACCGAATGTTAACTAAAAGTCGACATCCTTAGTTTTTTGTCTTGTCAATTTTTTTCAGTATTTTTAAATTAAAAATATATTAATTAAAAGATAAATTTGAAACTTGACCTTTATCATGATGCTCATCCGGTGAAACTGTAAAATTTTTAAACGCTATTTTATCACTTTAAATTTATAGAAAGACGTGTTTAATCAAATCGATGTCATAGTATATATGTATGACAAATTTTGATGGATAGGATCATTTTACAATGATACAATTAATTTAAAAAACTATGTTACTTAAATTACAATAATAATTCTAATTATTTTGCCTCTTCAATAAATTTTTTATGATTCTCAGTTTCGTTATTATACCGCTGGATTAGCGATATGTGAACAAATTGGTGCAGCGAGCATCACACAACTTTCACTTACCAACCTAATTAAATAATGAAATTTCTGCTCATAATAAGGCTGATTAATAAATTTAAAACTATCTCTATATTTCATATATATATATATATATATATATATATATATATATATATATATATATATATATATATATATATATAAATAAATAAGTAAGACAAAAAATATATACAGAAAAAAATCAGGAACAATACTCAATATGTAGAGGCTTAGCTACCTACAGGTTAGCAAGGGTGGAGACCCGCAGGCTGGAGTTGGTAACTGGAGAAACTGTTGCAACGATTACGACAGGAATCCCGGGCCACTGGCTCTAAGATTTATGCCCACCAAGCTGCCACTTAGCCCTCAAGTAAGGCTTCATGCCGAAACCTTTTCCTAATAAACTTTTTTTTTTTATTTAATTTTTTTTGTAAAGGAAAATGTAGTTAATGGACAAAATATGTCTCATTCTTACTTAAGAAAACAAAAAAGATTTTTTTTTAAAAAACTTTATAACCTGTTCTTCACGAAAATTACAAAATTTTAAAATTAACCCATTTATCTAACCCAACAGACGAAGCAGGGTTGCTGTCAAACGAAGATTGATCCTGATGATATGTCGTTATGCATAAACTTTTTTTTTTTTTTTTTTGTTATAGTACAATGACAGATAAAAGGTGAAATCTGCATTTAAAAGGGCAAGATTAGACCCCGTTAATGCTGTGAAAAAGAAAGCGGCATACGTGCAGAAAGAGCTGACAGAAGAAGCGAATTTTTCCTTGTCAGTGATGTAGTTGTTGGGATAAAGCAGCGATGAATGCTAAGTAATATACCTGGTGATGGTAAGTAAATATGCATAAAACCGAATAAAATATTTTACAGCATCAGTGTCGTTATTTAATATCCACATCCTGTATAAATAAAACACCTTTCTTTTTATTTTCCTTGTGAAATACAAAAAAAATGCCAAGACGAAAAATATTCTATTCCTGTTAATTCATGTACATAAAACAAAACTATGAGAATTCATTTCCAATATCTGGATTTGATTCAAATTTTCACCAGATATTAATATCATTTGTCATACTTAGTGGCGCACATATTCCAGTTATAATCCTTATTATAAAACCTCCTAGAAGCTTTCTACTTGACTTTAAGAAGCTAATTTATCAATCTTCGGGACTTTAGTTGAATTTGGGTCTAAGAATAATCTCATTTGAATTTGGAGGAGAAACCACAACAAAACAGTATCATATGCTGATGGTGATTATTATAACCCGACATTATCATAGGAAATTAAAGTAGACAATTTATATGTTCTAACCATTTTATATATTTTAGAATTGAATGTCCTTCATCGATATTAGCTCTCTTGACATTTTTGCTCAAACTGAAAATGTCATCAGTCCATCCCGTTCCCACACTTAGGTTGCTTAGTGTAACCTAATTTCGTTTTTAGCAAGTTCATCAATATAATTTCCCAGATTTTTCAATCACATTCTAAAAAGGTCGTGCTAGGTTTCTTAAATAAACTTCTAGTACTAAGTAAAAGTTAGAGACAGAGCACTAGAAAAGAGTAGTATATTTAAGAGGAAAACTTATTATGGCTTTTTTTTTTAATATTAGAAATATATGAGGAAGAAAATCTATGTTTTACTAACTTCAAATATATTAAGTAAAGGCATACTATGAATTATATTAACTAAACCCAATATATTCAGTATACCGTAGCAACTAATTTTCTCATAAGTATTCTTCTATATTTAATTCCTTTTATTTTTCTTTACATTTAACACCTATTTCACCATTGGAATAACAGGGAGGAGGGTGAGGGGTAGCCACGAAATAAATTTCAACCATCTCAGGGCAGATTCGAATCACCGCCGCTATACTCAAGAATATTAAAACGGATACTTAGCCACCATGGCCACAACTTTAACCAATCACCTTTGTCCAATTTTTTTTTTACTTTCGTTTCCCTGTTATCCATGCCACCAAAAATGGGGTTTATAAAGAAATCTCTTGTTTCACTGATACTCAAGTACTGTTTCACTAATTTAATAAAATTAATATCAAGGAAAACCAACATTGACAACAATTTTGCTTGATGTAACAAAGATGATGTCAAAGAAAAACGAAATGGTAGTTTCTTTTACAATTTATTCAATAAATTATATGTTAACTAGAAGGTTTCACCATTTGAATATAAACATCCTTTGAACAATCTGAGGTTAAACATACAAAAAGTATCAAACTTTTCGCACACTCAGGTTTTCCAATCCTAATGATTTTTTCATCATAATTGTTTGGTAAGTTTCGAATATAATTCGAAATTTTTTGAACACCCTAATTGATCATACACCAATTTTCCATCAGACAGGAATCAGTGAGGTAATATGAGGAACTGTTAATAAAAAAAAATAGCTATTAAGCCT